GTTAATTCTCCCTTTAGCAGCTGTCCACGGCTGTTCCTAGTATGAATAGGGGTTGAAGAGGCGCTCTTCCTGGGTGATAACAATGCAGGCCAGCCGGTCGCATCACAGATTTCGGAGCTCTGGGCTCTGCCTGTTATCCGTCCTCCCAATCCCATGGAAGTGATTTACTCTTAGGCTTTGCACCCAGAGAGTTCCAGGGAGGACTACCACTTGTAGATTTATTACCCGGTACACAGCCCTCCTGTTCCTTGGAATCTTTGTAGCTGCTAACTAGCTGTGAGTTAGCATACCCTTCTCCATTACTTTGCAACACTGGTAAAGTCGTGTCATTCCCACGACATAGTCCATTCACTTCCACGTTAACTTCCAACCGTTGCATTTTCATTTCCAACACAGCCATCTTCTGTATAAGTTTCTGGAAGTCATCTGTAGAGAACGGAGGCATTTTGCTACCAACTAGCTTAAGCTAAATAGCAGTAGCCTACCAGGCTTTAGCTGTTGCTAGGCCACGCTATTGTAAGACTGACGTCGTCGTAAAAATGTTGAAATATGGCTGAAAACCCTCCGTCTATTTACGAAGATGAACTGTCCCAGTGATAAGTTAATGTCCAGGAGCCGCTGCTCGAAGTTTTCAGAGAATAAGAATAGGAAAATCAGCATAAAAAGTAAGCAGAGGCAAGAGCAAGCAGAAAAGCGTCTGCACTGTAAGAAAGATAAGCAAATCTGTGGTACACAAAAGCCGCATAAAGACAAAAGCATTAATACAATGAATGACAGTTTGTAGTCCTTTCAGAATTACTGTAGAAGCCCTTTATATTGATGTTGGCATTTCAGTTTATTTAGTTTGGCTTAAGGGTAATGTACTATTTAAAAAAACTGGTACTGTACAACTCAAGAGAATAAAAGTCAAACTAAACTGTAATCTCTGCGTAAGATCACTCCCACAACTCACCTGTGAATAATGGAAATGGCCACTACAATTACTTTATATTGGTAATCACTGTATCTTAAAAAAAAACGTAATCCATTTAGAATACACTTTTCTCTGAAGTCACATAGCTCACAAAAAAAGGTGCAGGTGTCTTGCCTTGATGCAGTCTTGCAGTGGGATCTGGTGAAGTGTGACCTCAATGCCCCATAGGTTCTGAAGGGGCAGACACAGTCGGTGTAGGCACAGGGCCAGTGATTTCCTCTTCCGTGCCGAAGTCGATGGTGCCTCAGTACACTCTCATGACTTGAGCTGACGAAATCACAATATTTTGCATTTCATATGATATCTGTAATTAGAATTAAAAAGCCAAAATGGTCAATTTACCTTTCACAGTTTTTTGCTGCAATACATAGATATACACAAACTGTGAATGATATATATGGTGGGTCTGCAAACCTTTACTATCACAAGAGCCCCATTTCAGCCCCATTTCCACAAAAAATAAATATCTGTAGCCGCCAGAACACATTTGATAACACAAATCATAAACTAAAGATATAGTTGGTGTATTTACAGTCTACAAAAACTACAGCTTGTTGCATTTATTTAAGAATGGCATTAAAAAGGAAACCGTTGTTTATTGCCATTTTGTTATAACGGAATAAAACACTAAACTTGCCAGATTTTCTCCAGTTTGTGACTCTTACAACCTCAGATCCAGTGCCTGGATACGGTTCCAGGTTCCTGCTGTGCGGACTGAGGCTGGGAAAGGAGTCTTTTTTATTATGGTCCTTGGTCTTGGAATGACCTTCAATCACGCCTCAAACTGAGGGCACATGTCTCAATAGCATGTTTTAAATTGAAGTTGTCCGAGGTCCTTACCACTAGCTGCTCTTGCAGTAATAAGTAGTACCTTTCTTACTGTCCTATGCTAACACTAATATGCACCATCGTATATTTTTCAAGCTAAAAGCCGACCATGTGGCAGACAACACACGTCCATGTTAGCATACCTTTGCAAATCAGCCGAACCTCAGCGTCGCAAAGGTTTTCCCTCCTGGAGCTCCGTTAGCGCGCCAGTCGCCACCTGAACCGGGGATTGTAGTTGTTCAGGCCGCTTCAACGTCTCGTCTCCGTCGGTCTGCTGCACTGACGGGGACAGAGAAATGACTGTTACCACCTATCAGACATGTCGATCTATGAAGCTGTAACACGTTTAACCTTAAATGTTGTTTAACATTTCACATTAACATTTAAAATAATATCGTTGGAGCTACGGTGAAAACATGTTTGCTGATATTGTGCTCTTAAACGGTTGATTCCCTCGCACACATTACATTCTAGTTTATCGTTAACTCACGGTAATCCTCCCTTAATTATGCAGTCCGTCTTTTACCATATATTCTGGCCATAAAACAGTTTTAACGTTCTGTTTCCCTCTCTCACGCCAGGCTCGACCTGACAGACCCGCATGCATGGATGTATAATAGGCAGGGCTGCACATAACTGGTGCGCAGGTGCGCACCTCCGCCAAAAAAAGAGCACCGGGTCATTTGAAACAAAGCACATTTGCGTACCAACATTGAGAGAGGGAGAGAGGGATAGAGAGAAGGGAAAAGAGAAAATAGAGGAGAGAGGAGAGATGAGAGAGAGAGAAGAGAGAGAGAGAGAGAAAGATATTTGCGAGTTGCATACATGTATGAACCATGATATGAACTCAGGGTCGGCCCGGAGCGCTGGCTAGATGTTCGCCTAGGGCGCCAGATCTGTGGAGGCGCTGCACTGGCAGTTCTGGGAGGGAAAAAAACATTTTGACCGTTGGGGCTCATCCTAATTTTCGGCCTTGATGTAACAATATTCATAATTAAGTAAATGTAACACCCTTTTCACCCCGGTTACACGTTTCATTTGCCCTGTACGATGGGCGCTGTAAGTGATGAAAATGGGGGATGTTGGCTTATCTGGCGCCCGCAGCTCACAGTCAAAGCGAGTGAGCGAGGGAGAGAGGGAGGGTGCACCGGTACCAGCGCTGTTGTTATTAGAATCTGGTGCCGTGCTAGCTGCTCTAACGGATATAAGAAGAAGATGTTTTTACAATAATGTGGAGGGAGAGTCCTCTCCAGTCAGACTGATAACTACAGCTCAGTGAGGTAAAGTCTAAGTTCAAACGGTTTGGTCGCAATTTATGTAAACACATATTTCCAAGGTACTCCTTTATAATTATTGGGATAAACAGGTTTTAAATCATTCCAATGTATACTATAGGACAGTAACCAAAAATATCCTTTAAAACTGGAGAGATTAAAAAAAATGCATAAATAAATGTTAAGGTAAAATAAGATATGAATGAACAACACAAATAAAATAAGTTACATTAATTTGTTATTGGCTATGGTAGGTTATTGGTTATGTTCACATAATTATTTGATTACATCCACTTGTCTAAGATGACAACAGAGACTTTCGACCCAAACCCAGCTGTTGACTTGTGGATGCAAGCAGCTAATCGCAGACTCAACCAGAGAGAAAGAAGTAGGCCTACATCATCAGCTACCATGTCTGACAGAGAGGAAGACAGTGAGGAGAACAGTCAGGAGGGTAGTGATGACAGCTTGTAGGATTACTGGTCGTGCTCATGTTGTCTTGTGTTCACCTCTGCATGTGTGTTACTGTGTTCACCTCTGCACGTGTGTTCAGTGCCGTGTGTCTGGCAAAAAAAGTCAAGACCCCCTCAAAAGTTACGGTTTATTTCATTTTAAGGATGAGCACCAAGCAACATCTCCAGGTGCTCCTTTGAGAACCAGGGCAAAAAAGTTATGTGCACCCCTGATAATAGGAACCCGCATGTCCTCAATGCTGGCCGAGAGACGGGTTGCCAGAATATTGCTAAAACCCCCATTCATAGTTATATTTTTCTGCCACTGATATTCAACTTGTATGTGCTAAGCTAACAGCCGACCACTTTTCTGGCTACACTTGTCCATCATAGCATACCTTAGAAGTCTAGGGCCAGACATGATAAACGTTTCTAAAACATGTTTCCTGTTGAAGAGAAGCGTCAGCTAGCTAATGTTAAACTCGGCTAATGTACCACAAACTAAAATCTAGTGTCACATTAACTGATAATTCACTAACAATCAACTAAATAATTCGCAATCAATTAATGTTACACTTTAAATCAGTCATTTTCTATATTCATAATTTCAATACAACATTCAAACAAAGTGCTCACCTTGAGGATGATCAGTCCCGTTGAGAACAGCAGAGTGCCACTGCCGAACATGTAAAGGCGAAATACTGTAGAAAACCCCCTGCAGATTTCTGTTGGAGACCCCGTTCATAGCTCGAAGCATGCACAAAGAACTTATTTCGAACTCTAACCTTGGATTTTTAAGTTTTGCCAACTGAATTTATTAAATGACACACACTTTAAACAAGCAACATAATAAAGATAGTCGAGATAACTACTTTAATGTAGTCCATCCATCCATCCATCTTCTTCCGCTTATCCGTGGTCGGGTCGCGGGGGTAGCAGTTCCAGCAGAGAGCCCCAAACTTTCTTTTCCCTGGCGACATCAACCAGCTCTGACTGGGGGATCCCAAGGCGCTCCCAGGCCAGCGAAGAGATATAATCCCTCCACCTGGTCCTAGGTCTACCCCTTGGTCTCTTCCCAGCTGGACGTGCCTGGAACACCTCCCTAGGGAGGCGCCCAGGTGGCATCCTAACTAGGTGCCCGAACCACCTCAACTGGCTCCTTTCGACGCGAAGGAGGAGCGGCTCAACTCCGAGTCCCTCCCTGATGACCGAACTTCTCACCTTATCCCTAAGGGAGACACCAGCCACCCTGCGGAGAAAACCCCATCTTGGCCGCTTGTATCCGCGATCTCGTTCTTTCGGTCATGACCCATCCTTCATGACCATAGGTGAGGGTAGGA